CGCGCTTTGAGTCGAACGGAGCAAGTTTGTTGGCGAGACCCGCCCCGGGCGTTTAATATTAGGGGAGACGGGTTCGTCTTAATTGATCGTTTCGATTCCCCGACTCTAATATTGCCTTATACGGATTTGACTGTTTTGCCCTGGTCGGCCGCTCACGCCATGTGGCGACCGCAGTTTGATTGTCGCTGGTGTCGCCAGGGGGACTCATGTTCTTGGCGACGACTGGTCCTGGGTTACGAGGGAGTGGCACGTTTCCCTGAGCTCTCACGTAATACGGGGGCGCTGCCCGCGCAATTTCGAATTCGGATATCGGCAAGTTCTCCTGCCGCTTCACCCTCTCGGGAACTTTCGTGCGGACTTTGTGAGTCCGACGCCGAGGCGTGAAGGCCTCGAACCAACCACCTATACAACGTAAACCTGACGGCCCGGTCTTCGGTCCCTAGCCATCGTGGCCTCCTCCCCCCGCTGCCCTTCTTCGTTTTGATTCACCACGGCAGCTCCTCTTTGCGGAACTTTTCGGTTTTCGTCACCCTGGATTGACCCGACCTCCCCGGGACTCAGTGGTGAAAGATCGATCCCGGGATGACCTCTGGTTTGAAACGAGAGCCTCCCGTTCCGACTGGGAGACTCAACCCCTACGGCCAAAAATCCTCGGCCACGCCCCTCCTATAACTCTGATCGACGACCCGGTACGGGAAGTCGCGAGGGGGCATGAGGTTGGTATCAGACCTGATTCGTTTCGGCTCCGAGGTGTTCCTAGGACGATTATCCTGTTTAAGAGTTTTTCCTTTTTGATCTTTTTTTTTAAGATTTGTTTCACTTTTGAGTAGGCTGGCTCCCCGTCGACGGCGGCCCGCGAATAGTAACCAGAACCGAGCGAGAGGCCGGGCTCGAGATCCGCCTCCCGCGATGGTGGAACCCGAAATTGGGGGTGGAAAAGACGGCGATAACCACGCGGTGATGGCCAATCGTCCTCTGTATTTTGTACCTCCTCCCTCCGAAGTTCCCATTTTCTCCGAGGATGATACCGACTCTCGCACCTGGCTAGCCGCCTTGAAAGCCCAGGGCTGGTCGGACCAGTTGCTCCGAGAACGAATCCCGGTGAGGTTAGCCGGAACCGCTTTTGAGTGGTATGGGCAGAACCCCTATACTAATTGGCTAACCTTCCAACGAAAGTTTCTTGAGCGTTTCGCTCACATCGCACCCGGGCAATGCCTTCGCCTGATAAAAGAATATACGCAGCAGCCTCGGGAAACCTTGGCCAGATATGCAGAGCATTTTACCTACTTAGTCGAACGCTCCGGGGTCGATGAAAAGATGGTGCGGACTGATTTCGTTAGGGGACTGTGCGATTCTCGCTTGCGGAAGAAGATCCGCAAGAAATGCAACCCAATAGAACACACCCTGACCGAACTCATTCAGTATGCCATTAAGTACGGGAAGGAAAATTACGATGTAGGTCTGGATTCGGAGTCCGACGAAGACGACCTTTCGGGTGTCCGACGCCATAGCTACTCCGCTACGGCGCGAATGTTCGAGGATCGCTTCGGCTTAGGACCGACGAAGAAAACTTCGGATCGGAAAATTGCATCTTCCGCGTCGACCTCCCGACGCTCTGGCCAAGCTCAAGGAGGTCGGGACGAGGACGAAATATCAATGAAAGAGGTCGCGGCTCAGCTGGTCACGGTAGTGGCCCCGCAGACGGAATTTGTTCAAAACTTGTAACGGCAGCGGGTGGCAGCGGCGCAATGACAGCAAACGGCCATGGCCGCCGTTTCCCCTATGACCCGACCAGCCGCAGCAGAAGTCGCCCAGCCTCTATGGTACTACAACTGCAATCAGTCGGGCCACCTTGCGAAAGATTGTCCGAAACCTCGGACGCAGAGTGGGCCCGCGGGACCCACCGGACCTTCCCAAATCCCGTTGGCGGCTCCAACCGCTGCGGGACAAGGGAGGATAGCCACGGTAATGGATACTGGAACGATGGAAATGGTGTCCCCTGCGGCCACCGAGATAGGACCCGATGAGTATATGGTTGCGGCGATGTTCGAACCTGGGACCATTGGAGTGATACGTCACGTCCAAAGGATTACCGAGGAAAGCGACCTCGGGCTTTGGCGGCCTGGGTTCGAAGATCTCGCGGCCCCTGCCCTAAGTACAAAGATGGTCACATCGACGTGTTGGATGCATTGAAGGCACTGGATCTACGGATCCCCATCCCTATTCCCTATCTGCTAACCATTTCCAAAGCGGCTAACGAAAAGTTGATCGAACGATGCCTCAAAAACAGGCGCCGATTCGAGGAAAGTCGAAAGGGCAAAAAGTCGGTCCTACGAGACCTACCCACAAAAGAAGAGTCACAGCCTTCGACCTCGATGGTGCAAGAAGCCAACCGGGTAGGAATGATCCAGACCGTAGATCCTGCCTCGGAAAAGCCTGAGGTATTCCTCCGAGCCTATCCTATAACCTGGAAAAGCGTTGAGTGTGACTGTGAGGTCTAGGGAAACCCCTCGGCCGCCATTTCTTGGAGATTGACGAAACGATTGGGAAGGGAAGGACAGGTTCAGCCCCTCCGACCGGACGAACTGTATATATCCGCTACGGAGGACAACATTCATTGTAAGGGGCGGATAACGAACGTGCCTATACGGGTGGGGCGGGTGCATTGTTTGTGCGACGCAATCGTACTGGATGTACAGGCGTATGATGTTTTGCTAGGCATTCTGTGGCAGGCGGCGGTCGGAGCGCGAATGCACTTTGACAGTTGTAAGGTGGTGCTCACATCGACCCACCCCAAACCACAAACGATACTGATGAGATTGGCGGTGCACATGCGCACCCAGCCGGCGCCTCGAATCACCACGAAAGCCCATCAAATCAACATGATCCGACGCGTGTCACCAGGCGAAAATGAAACTTCGTCGGAAACTGACGAGACTGATGTACCCGATTGATATCCCATCCGGGTGCAGGATCGGTGGCGCCATTCCGGGCGACGATAACCCCTGGAAATAATTCGGAGCGAGTCCGATTGGTCGCACGCGTTCTCCTCCATGGTGCAGGGAGAACCCCTGCTGAGGGTGTCACGAATAACAGACCTTTCGGAACCCCCTGCGTCCTTATATCTTAGGACGGACACCCTACTCGAAAGGTTTACGGAGCTTAGGGGGTTGTGCGATTTAACTTTTCGGCCTCCCTGGCCCCTGCTTACAAACACAAAAGCCGCCCTGCTCTTGAAGGAAGGGGTGTCATTTCAACCTCGGACGAGGGAATATCGATGGAGGCCGAAGGAACAGATACAGGCCTTTTCAGTGGAACCCTCGGCTGAAGCCGAGCTCGAGAATGACAGTGACATAGAAAATGAACCGAGAAGCCCAGCAGACAGTCAACTTATCGCGACCGTGCTTTCGGCAAAAACCGACAATTCTTTGTTTGGTGCCTCACCCAAAGCCAACGCGGCAGTCCCCATGGTTACGTCGACGATCTCCCTCCCTGAGGGAAACGTGGACGTCCGGCTGCCGGCCCATGTGCCTGGCGACTACAAACGCCTTTTGCTGGCAGTTATACGGGCCTACCCAGAAGCCGTCAGTATCTAGGACCACGATATAGGACTTACCCACCTGATCCAACACACGATTGATACCGGTGATCGCGCGCCGATACATTGCCGACCGTACCGTTATTCCCTAAAGGAAAGACAACTGGCCCTGGAAAGGGTACGGGAGTTTGAGCGGTTGGGGTGGATTGAACCATCGCTTGGACCGTGGTCGTTTCCCGTGGTCCTCGTGCTGAAACGAAACGGTTCAGTCCGAGTGTGTATTGACTACCGCAAATTAAACGCTATTACTACCAAAGATGTCTATTCGCTGCCGCGGATTGACGATCTGCTGGATGCTATCGGATCCGCTCGGGTCTTTTCGAAGTTCGATATTCGACACGGTTTGCACCACGTCACAGTCCGACCGGAAGACCAGCCCAAAACCGCTTTTGTCCTGTTCGAAGGCAAGTGGCAGTGGATCCGGTGTCCCATGGGAATTTGCAACGCCCCCTCAACATTCCAGCGGGCCATGAATATGGCCTTCGCCGAGTTCGTTAACAAAACTCATTTGACACAGCCGTTGATAAATTTTTGTGTGATTGTGTACATGGATGGCATTTTGGTCTTTTCCAAAACCTATGAGTACCATGTGGAACATGTCGAATGGGTGTTACATGCGTTGAAGGATGCGGAGTTCAAAGTGGCTCTGGAGAAAAGCGAGTTCTTTCTGTCCGAAATTTCCTTTTTGGGCTACATCGTCACGGTCGAGGGACTGAAACCGGATCCCAGGAAGGTAGCAGCGGTTCGAGAAGCCCCGGCCCCGGTGACGCTCACTCAGGTTCGAGCCTTCCTAGGGCTGGCCTCTTATTATCGACGCTTCATTCGGAGCTTTGCCTGCCTCGCCAAGCCGCTGACGAACCTGCTGAAGAAGGAGGAGCAGTTGATTTGGACGTCGGAGTGCGAGGCGGTTTTTCGGGCACTCAAGGAGGCTCTGACATCGGCACCCGTGTTGGCGCGTCCCGATCCGACAAGACAATTTGCGCTGCATACCGACTGGCAGCCGCAGGCGGTATCGGCGGTGCTGACTCAGCAAGGAACGGATGGAAGGGAGCACGTCATCGAGTATGCGTCAAAAACTCTAAGCCAGGCGCAGTCGAACTACGAGGCATGCAAGGGTGAGTGCTTGGCGGTGGTGTGGGGGGCTCAACACTTTCGACCGTATCTGTACGGCCAGAAGTTCATGCTCGTGACGGATCATCAGCCCTTGCTATCGTTGCGGAACAACACGGACCACACGGGTACCTTGGGAAGGTGGGCGGTGAGATTGCAGGACTACAACTTCGACATCCGTCACCGCGCCACCAGGCAGCACGGGAACGCGGATGGTCTAACGCGCCTCCAGCCGCCGAACAAGAGCCCTGCGAACGAAAAGCTCATCCCGTGGAAGCCGACTTCGCCTTCGGCAGAACCCGGCTACGGGGAGGTGAACGTCCTCCGCAAGGGTACTGCAGCAATCGGAGATGGCGATCGCCCATGAGGAGGCCGCCACCCTTCTCCCCTACCCTATTCTTTAACCCCCTCTCCTGACCCTGACTCCCCTCCGAGCACGCCTTCCCAAATTTGTTTCTTCTGCACCTTGCCCATGATACCGGCAGGGGGAGATCCTCCTCTCGAGGGGGCCTAGCTTTCTTCCCTGGGTACAATGTAGTCAATGTCACATAGTCCGGTCCCACGGGAGTTGTGCCCGGTATCGGAATGAAAAAAGTTGGAACTGTCCCAACTGTCGAACGGACCACGTACCTACGGAAAAACAGTATCTAGAAGCCAGAACGGCAGACAGATTTTTGCCAAGCGTCCGCCGAGCGGAAGTCTGGACAGATCTTCTGCTATTACGGAGACTGACAGGCGACCCGCTGACGGAACTTACCAAGGCTGAACGGCGACGTGTCACGGAACGGTCGCACGATTACCGCTGGCAGGGATCCGTCCTTCAAAAACGAAAAGATGATGACGTCGACGGATCTAGTTGGCTGACGGTTCCACACCCACAGGCCAGGTTCGATTGGACATGAGCCGCCCACGAGGAGGATGCGGTCCACTTTGCAGTCAAATACACGGAAAAAGCAATAGAGAAAAATGGATGGTACTGGTCGGGAATCCGGGAAGATGTGAAATACATCGTCCGGACTTGCCCGGCCTGCGCGGCCGATAAGGCGCCGATACAGATGCCACGTACAATAGTGCCTACCCGGGTAGAATGCCCCTTCCAATGGGTCAGTATCGATACGACGGACATCAACGTGCCGAGAGGCCTTGTTGATGAAGAAGAACTCAATGTTCTTCTTGAAGCCGTAGATCATTTTTCGAAATGGATCGAAGTGTATCCAATGACCAGCCGGAAATCGCAGGAAGTAGCCTGGTACATTAATCGCTTTTTGTGCATGCACCTGGACGTAGAAGAGATACATATGGACAATGGATCCGAGTTCCAGGGGGAGGTAGAGCGACACCTTGTAAGGGTAGACGTTAGAATTTCATACTCCCAAGGGCACTGGCCTCAAGCCAACGGGCCCGTAGAGAATGTCAACCGAATGATCAAGACTGCACTTAGACGGAATATCACGGCAGGTGATACCAGGCCCTGGCCTGTCATAGTCGACCACATTTTGGCCGTCTATCGGGCTACTCCCCACGGGAGCACCGGGGTGTCCCCGTTCCAACTGAGAACCAATAGCGTCCCTAGAGTGCAGTTGTCACCTCTAGTGGGTACGGAAGTTAGAGTGACCCGGGCCCAGCACAAGGACAAGGCCTAGCATTACCTGGATCTGATGGCCTGGACCTATCCTGCGTTAGCCCGAAGACGACAAAGGGCCATAGATTTGACACATCAACGGCAGATCCGGGACTATGAGAACCGACACGCGACAGCGGGCCCAATGCCCCGTTATAAAATCAGGGACCTGGTGCAGGTACGGAAATCTGCGCGCTCCTCCAAGATCCACCCACGCTATACCGGCATTTACGAAGTGACGGAAGTTGGTGCACGAGGACAGCACGCAGGCCAGGTCGCTTACGCGACACGAGGCGGCTCTTCGGCTGTTTCGTCCATCTCCTGGCCGCGAATCGGCTCTTGCCCCGTCTGAGCCTTCGTCCTCTCTCTCCTCCTTTCCTTCTTCGTCTTCTCCCTCTTTCCGATCTGCCTCGTCCCTTGGTGCTGAGAGTTTCAGGGAGAAGGATGAACCATCGCCAGCCGGAGCATAGCCCCTCGAGCATTTCCAGACGCTGCTTGCAGATCGCTTGTTGCGGCATCAGTTCAACGAGGAGAGGCAGTTGCGATACGACATTCAGCAGGTGAACGTGCCAGCGCCCGGGGTTGCTGATCTGGCGGCGTACTCGTTACTTTGTGATCAGCTGACGTATGCGGGGGTGTACGTGGACGTGATGCAATTGCCGGGCATCGAGTTCCGCTCGCTCCAGGTGGCACCTTACTTCATGCATAGTGTCGCCACGTTTATCGGAGACTTGACGATCCTGCCGCAGCCGAGTCGGGAGCTGGCGTGAAGCTTTGTGCGCGAATACGCGGTGCAGGCGGCCAGATCAGTGGCCAGAGTGCAAGGACGGGGAGGGCATTTACAGCCCACGAAGCGCTGCTGCGCAGGGTAGAGGACGGACCAATTGCGTTGGTGCCGCAGCTCCCCGCGCTTCTTCCTCCCGCTGCCCCTCTCAACATCCAAGTTATTCCCGCTGCCCCGTACTAAATGCCTCGCTTTTTCTCTTACACCACTCTCCCCTATCAACTCACGGAGGGCCCTTATCCTATGCACGAGTTCTCGAAGTATTTGGTGGAGCTGACTGACGTGGAGTCGCTGCCCTTCGTAGACGAAGACGCGTGGGAGTTGCACCGTGCGCTATACAAGTTGGTGGCGTTGGGGATGTTCAGATTCTTCGTGGATCACGAAGACCACTGTATCGGGGAGCACTTCGTCGTCTATTACGTCATCACGCGGCCCAAGCCAGCGCAGAAGGAGGGGACGGTGGCGTTGTACCCATACGCCCAGCTCCAGACGACTGATCCGGGATTGTTAGAGCTCATACATTTTGAGCTCCTATCCATTGCGCAAGTGATCGCGAGCGAGGAAGAGGAGATCCAGCCACGATTGCGGATGCCGGCTGCCCCGCGGAGAACGTACAACGTGGTCGTCATCCCGGATTACATCGCGCAGTGCGAGGAGAGGTTGGAGGACTTCGCGGAAGAAAAGCCGTTGCGACCTCCCTTGTTGTATCCCAGACCGGCACCGCCAAAGGCCCCCAAGAAGACGCCGAAGAGGAAGAGACGCCACCCGTCGCCAGGAGCGCAAGGCAGCAGAATCGGTGGCGGCGAGGAGGTGGTCCAGCCCGTGCGCACGCGGAATCTTGACCCGGTGCCTGGGAGTGCGGTGACGCTGGTTAAGGAGACTGTCGTGCCATCGCCGCCCTTCCCGCGCGTGCCCGATCTCAATCTCGATGGAGCCGGGCCATCAGCCGCAGCAGCCGGAGGAGGAAGCCGAATGGGATTACAGGATCCCTTATCCAGATCCCCCATCCTCGCGGGACCTTTCCGCTTCCGCCAGCCACCCCGGAGTGCCCCGATCATTGACATTAGTAGTTCCTCCGAGCCGAACAGTCCATCTGACCGAGGTGGATTTCATGGTGGAGCCCACCACCATTCGGCTCGAGGCCATTGCGGGGGCGCCGCGCCCTGATCCGGCGTGGGAGCCATATCTGACACCCCCTTTTCAAGGGTGTATCGCGGACCGGCTGGCGGGGACGCTCATCTACGAGACTGGGCAGCGTCCCAATGTGATGTACCACTTCCTCGTCTTCGCGACGTAGAAGCGGGAGCGGCGGCCCTACAATGAGACTCATCTGGTGATGACGGGTCCCGGACCCCGATCGGTACGCAAACGGGTGGTGCGAACGGTGGCAGATCTGGCGCCCCGTGTCCTGTCTCGTGTGCCGGGGGCCTTTCTCTATCCCTCGTTCGTCCAGCACCACTTCCATGAGGAGGACGCGCCGACGACTCCTGCGGCCATGGCCGTTTTTCTTCCCCCGATTCCGCCCCCTCTTAATCCCGACATCGATCACTTCCTTTGATCACCCTCGTCTACCTCTCCCCTCTTCTCTCCTTTTCTTTCTCTTCATCGTCTTCTTCTCCTATCTCCAAAGTTCGCGCGTCGAGACGCGCTGTAAAAAAATAAATACATAAATAAATAAATAAATAAAAAATAAAAAAAAATCAGTGGACTACTTACCGATCGGGCCAGCTGACGATGAAGGGGCCGCCCGATCGGATGTATAATAAGAGGGAGATGACTAACGATGCGAAATGCATCGAAGTAGGATAGGAGATGCTCGGGCCAGCTGACGATGAAGAGGCCGCCCGAGCATCCAAAATATGATGACATCAGCAGCCGGGAGACTGCTAATTTTTTGGAACCCCCTGCGTATCACAAATGTGATAAGCTCAGACCCGTATCGCGCGGCTTGCCGTATCCCTGAGGAAAAATCCCCCAGAGGCCCCGAAATACGGATGCGAACAGAAAGGGGTTTTTTCTTTCTTTTTGCTTTTGTTTTCTTTTGAAACGTCTTTTTCACTTTTTTTTGGTTAATAACTCCCGCGCGGGCGAATAGCGGCCGCTGTATGAAAACCAAGAAACGGTTTCGGGTGGGACTTTTTGAATTTTTGCGCGCGCGCGCCTAAACTCCGACTTCTTCGCGCGTCTCGCACCCCCGTTTCTTACTCTGCGTCCCTGCGCCATCTTCCTTTCTTGCTGCGCGCGTTCCCCCCCCCATGCAGGACTCTTCATCTTCCCCTATGCCCAGCGCGATCCTTACCCCGTCTTCCTCTGCGAAGTGATTGGCTGCGTAGTTGGGATGCTCGGATCAATGTGGAGAGCGGGAAACCACGCACC